AATCTGGCTCTAAACCTAGCTCTGGCTCTAAATCTGACTCTAAATCTGGCTCTAAAACTGGCTCTAAATCTGGCTCTAAAACTGGCTCTACCACCCCTAGTAAGCCCAGCAGTGTAGGCTCGAATGCGTCTAAATCGTTCCCAGCCGCTGCTGGCGAATCGACTCTCTCCGCACCCATGAAAGTCACCGACTTCGATGGTGGAATGGTCAGGTTCGGCCGTGGTGTCTCTTGTACGCCTGGCGAGGGAGGTGACAGAGATGCTGTCTTTCTCGTTGCAGACGGAGGCTCGCTGAGCAATGTTATCATCGGAGCCGATCAGTTGGAAGGTGTTCATTGCCTCGGTGCTTGTAAAATATCAAACGTCTGGTGGGAGGCAGTCTGCGAGGATGCTCTTACCTTCAAGGGCGACGGCGACGGCACCGTGTCCGGTGGAGGCGCGAAGGGCGCTAAGGATAAAGTCGTTCAGCATAATGGTATGGGCACAATCTCCATCTCAGGCTTCTTCGTTGAGGACTTCGGTAAGTTGTACCGCTCTTGTGGCAATTGCAAGACTGTAAGCTTCCCCTCTCGTCCCGTACGAATGAGCCAGATCACTGACCATTCCGCAGCAAGGCGAACGCCACGTCAAGATCGACGGTGTCACTGCTTCAGGTGGCTCTGCTGGTCTCGTCGGGATCAACTCCAACTTTGGTGACACTGCTACTATCAAAAACTCCTGCATCACTGGCACAGACGTCATCTGCCAGGAGTTCGAGGGTACCTCTCCCGGCCACGAGTCCAAGAAGACCAGCAGCGGCCCTAGCTCCGTATGCATCTACACTGATGCTGACATCAATGCTTGCTGAAGGCAACTGCGTGCCGCAGCTGGAGGGGGAGGCAGCCTAGCCTTCAGCACGGCTGAGGATCCTCCGGGACCGCCTTAAGAAGCGTCCGGGGACATGTTAATGGGGGACGTGAAGTAACGACTCCGATGTAGAACCTTCGTAGCAAGTGTTCAAATTTTCAATAGCTATACATATATTTAATGGCGCATTATCACAGCTCGATAGTTTGTCTTGTGACAAGAAGTTATTCTTGCACCGCTGCCGTGTTCCCTAGTTATCAAGTTACCCACAGCATCGCCGCCGTCCTCGTTTCGAAAATCCGTTCTGAGCATCCTGGCTCCGCGGAACTACCGGTAGGGTGCTGTTCCGCACTCTGCTTGCTAGAACGCGCGCAGCAAACAATGCGACCAGCGTTTAGCGTCCAGGCTGTCCAGCGGTGATCGCTGGAGCGCGTGTGGACGTACCGCTGCATAGATTTCTCGTATCGAGATACAGTATTCGACGGCTACTCAAACATTCCCTATGCAGTATTTCTGCGGATCCTAGTGTATGCACAATGAGGGATCAAGTCGACTCATGGGTCGAATGCTCCGTAGTCGAGTGTTGACGGCAATTTTCGGCGCACTCGGCAGACACCGAACGACTTCGCTCACAGGTGGGCCACACAAAATGGCTCCCCGAATCGAGTCGGAATCACGATACAGCCGCCAACATGTTCCGAGACTTTCCTAGAACAGTATCTTGAAGTTGCTTGCAACGGGGCTGAGCAGGCATCGTATGCTCGTACGGTAGCGTACCGAATCGTCATGCTCATCCCTTTGGGCAAGTGTGAGTGTGGATGCTCTGGGCCAATCAGGAGGATGCAGGCGGGTCTGGCTGAGGTTGATCGCGATCCTGGCTTTTAGTCGCAGGCAAGATCTTCGATCTCATGAGTTCCTCCACGCAATACCTCCGAGAACGAGAGAGCATGCTCAATTTGTCAGAAGAAACGCCTTGTGCAATGCCTCATGCGAAGGCGGACTCGAAAAGTTTGCCCAGTGCCGCTGGAAGGACCATTGATTGTAGATATGAATGCGAATGCACAGAACGATATGAAGAGATGGCGCAAGACCAAGTCTACATTAATGCCGTGCGCACGTGGTTTACAGACTGACAGAGATGTTCTGGTATCGACCACCACCATAGCGTTCTACGAGATCTTCCTGAACCACTTCACGTCACAAGGCGAGAGCATGGACATCCGGAACCAGCTGACATGGCTTCAGCGTCTCCCACATCTCGCCACAGACAAACTGGACAAGGCCTCAATACTGGCTCTCGAAGCAACAGCAACCGCATATGGGGCTATCATGGGCTCCAACACGGCTATGACCCGGCAGGCTCATGATCTGTACGGCACGGCACTTCGCGCTCACCAGAATATACTGCAGAACAGCGGTACCGCAAGCGATGTCACGATCCCTATGGTATCGACGGGTGTTCTTTTCAGCTTCTTCGAGACCATGTAGCCAGCTACTGCTGGCGCATACCACGCCCATAACTACGGGGCGGCGCGACTCCTCGAGATCGCTGGGCCGGGGCAGTGTGGATATGGCGTGCTGTGTCAGCTCTTCTACCATGTCAGGATGCAGATGTTGTTTATCCAGGTGGCCACGGATGGTCTCAACGTCCCGCTGTGCGCAGAAAATGTTACATACGGCACATTGCTGTACGAAGACCCGCCCATGATCCAGAAGCCCATGCGTTGCGTTATGGCGCTGCAGAATTTGCGAGCTCGGACTGACGGGGTGCATGGATCCTTTGCGAGGCGTCAACGACGTCTGGGCCTACGAGTCGATGGCTGTGGGACGAGGACAGTACGCGGGCACGTCTTAGCCAGGCTACAGGGGCAATGACGTTCAGCGATGCCTTCGCAGCACTGACAATTGCATATTTTGATGCAGCGTATGTCCTGCTGGTAATCACTTCATACGATTCCAAAGGCATCCCAGACTTGTCTCGACACTCGCAAGTCATCCTGAAAGCCGCGCCTTTCCTCCTGTTGCATACATGCGGATGGCAACACCATTGCTTTTGGTAGCATTGCACGCACAGTATCGAATGCACCGTGAGAGTGCGGTGGGTATATTCGAGTCCTGGTCAAGCGGCATCAGTGTCCTAGCTCTGGATGCTATACATCGGCAGGAAAATCCAAGCACTTCGCCAGGCGCTTGGCAGGGACGTTTTCCACCCATCACAGGTGGGGTAAAGACAAGATTCCCCGACTTCTCATGCCGCGATCCGCGAAATCTTGACTCGGGGGTCAATTACCCGCCGCCCGACGGATCCGAACTTCCTCACACAAGACCTGCTCGCGACGATCTTGGCTTAGCGGGAACAGTTCCAAGAACACTTCCAAGCCTTTGCTACTTCCCGCAGCCGTTCCTGAAATGATTCATCCACGTATCAGACCTACGATCTGGAAAAATTGCCGGATGCCCACACGCTTTGTACAACAGCGCAACGGAGGCGATACGCATCGAACGTACTTATATGTCTCGCATCCGCTGGAGACATAGTCACACCTTTATACTTGCAGCATAAGCACGATGCGACTCGATATTCTCAGCCTCGTTTCTTCGGCAGTTCTGGTCGGGCTGGCAGCGTCGACACCGGCCAAGCCAGAGAAGCATGCTATTATACCGCGTCCATACCTAAAGGCAGCGCCTTACGACACTGGAACGAAATTCCCGTACTCGCCCCCTCGCAACCCGAAGCGCCGATGCTTCGTCGTCCCAGGAAGCAATGCGACCCGTGATGATGCTGGCGCTATCTATCAAGCTTTCAAGAAGTGCAACAACGGCGGCACTATCATTCTAGATGATGTCTATCACATCGCTTCTCCCATCGACTTGACTTTCTTGAAGCACGTTGATGTTGTCATCACCGGTGAGGTGCATTTCGATGACAGCGACGTGTACTACTGGGCAGAGAACGCTTTCATGTATGAATTTCAGCTTCAGGCTGTATTCTGGAAGTGGGGCGGCGAAGATGTCAATATCTATGGAGACCTGAGTAAGGAAGGCAGCGTTCTGGACGGTCATGGCGAGGCGTTTTGGAAGGAAGTGACGAAAAATACTAGCATGCGCAGACCCTTGCTCTTCGCTTTTGATGGCATGAAGGGAGCGACCATGTCAAATCTGCGAATGCGCAACTCACCAAACTGGTTCAATATCATCGCCAACTCGACGGACATCTTGATCAGTAACATGGACCTCAAAGCAACAAGTCTCAATGGTACCAAGATCGCCAACTCGGACGGGTGGGATACCTACCGCTCAGATCGTGTGGTCATCCAAGACTCAGTCATCATAAACACGGACGACTGTGTATCCTTCAAGCCGAATAGCACCAACATCGTGGTCCAAGGTCTTGACTGCACCGGCTCGCACGGTATCAGTGTTGGCTCATTGGGTCAGTATGCGAACAAGACCGACATTGTGGAGAACCTCTACATCTACAACGTCTCTCTCGCAGACTCCAGCGATGGAGCCCGGATCAAGGTGTGGCCCGGCATCGAAACCAGCTTCCAGACGCTGCTCAACGGTGGTGGGGGACTGGGAAGAGTCCGCAACGTGACGTACGATCTGTTCAGGAATGTGAACAACGACCGCGCTATCACGATTACCCAATGCTATGGGCAGAAGAATCAGACCCTCTGTTACCAGCACCCTGTAAGTTGTGCACATGTACCCCACGAGCATCTTTGAACCGCAGCTCACATGCATCAGGCAAACTTGACCATTGAGGATATTACCATCAAGAACATGTTTGGCACGACTTCAGCAAAGTACGACCCGGAAGCTGGAAGTTTAATTTGTAGTGCGCCCGATCGCTGCAGCAACATCCGAGCAGAAAATATCACTGTGCAGGTCCCTAGTGGCAAGGCCCCGGTGTACACTTGTAAGAATGTAGATGCAGGGTTGTTGGGCATTAACTGTACGGAGCCAGCTGGTGAGAGAGATATCGGTCAAGGATGATGGATTATGGCTGCATTTGGCTGATGATTCGAGATCAACTCAGCGTTCGAGGCACTGCAGTCTCCAAGTTGGTATGAATTCGTACATGAGCAATCTACAAGTTTTAAAGAAGACGTCCATCTGTATAAGGGCAGGTCTGCAAACTTGTTTGTATCTTTGCAGCGTAGGCGTTCTTAGCTGCCAGCTGAGGCCCTGAGGAGGTCGTACTCTGCGCGTCGGAAACACTATAATTGCATGGGACCATATTATCAGATGACGACGGCGAGCCCTCCGCTGGCAAACATAGAACCGGGCGCAGGGTCCTGTATATCTTTGCACAAATCAGGTGCGCTCCGCTAGAACGGGTATTAGTTAGTAGATATCTGGCTCAGCAGGGCGCAATGACACGTTTGAGGTCCCACGAGGAGAAGTCGGCTGTGCCACGACGTCATTGTCACGTGATAGAAAGGTCGTCCATTGTCAACTGTGCTGAGGCGGTACGAATACTTCGTACACAGACTCTGTCGGTAGAGATCACGATCAACTAGCAGCATGCCCACAATCGTGAGCTGTTCTGCCATCTCATTCGTCGCAGAAATCGAGACTCGGAACTCGGACCCACCCAATAACGAACGAGTACTCCGATGTCAACCTACCATTTCGATCATCATCCCCTATATAGCCACGCGCAATTTATGGCAAACTTTTAGCGAATGGCAGCAAGTATAGATCCCGGAAGAACTTTCCATGCCTTGTGGTGTGCTTAGGCGACAATGTCTGTGGCAAAACGCGTCCCTCTCTCGGTGCACATAACATGCCCTGTGCTATCGCCCTGTTTCTGATAGCAACAAAGTGCAAGCTGCGCACACAGCTGCAAGACATTACCAGTAACTGTCTCAGCGAGTTGCTCAGCCAGCTGCTCAGCTAGCTGCTCACATCACATTCAAAAGGATCAGGCGATCCCACGCCCGAACACCATCTTTACACGTTTGATGACCTTCTCACTGCGGAAGGCGCGTTGTCTGTGACTCTGTGTCGCGCATTCGCTCGTTTGGAATGCCCTTGCATAGCGACTGTGCGCATCCCGAATTTGAATTGGTGTTACTTTCGCGAGCCCCTCCAGGTTTCAAGATTGAGGACTCTGGTACCCAACCTGGAGGCCAATTCGCCCTGAGCGCACAGCTCCGCGGAGCCCTACTCTATCGCACAACTGTTACTTCCATTACGACATGGCCTTCGCACGAGGTAAGGTAGCCATTCCCAAGCTTGACCGCGGGTCACCTCCATCAAAGCCGTCCGCCCAGAGCAGAGAAGATCGCGTGTAAGCCCTTCTTTCTAGTCATCCCATATTCATGTATAGACCACTGACGCTGGCTGTGCAGTACAAGAGCCTGCAAGACTTGCCGCAGACGAAGTAAGCTCATCCCACCTGCCCGTCGCAGCGGCCCTTCTCAAGTCCTTTCTGATCCCACAGCAGAGGTCAAGTGCTCCGGTGATATCCCGTGTTGCATCAGTTGCCGCGTCAATGGACTTACTTGTGTTTATGAGCAAGCTCGGCGCGATCGACTGAAGGAGTAAGTCTAGTAGGCTGGCCGAAAACGCAATGGTTACTGACCACGGGTAGAGCGATCGATCTGAACCACACTTTCGTGACCCTTTTCAACGAACTCAGTAAAGGGCTGAGTGAAGACGACAAGAAGAAGGTCCAAGATGTTATCGACGCAGTGAGTCCTTTGGGTCCAACATGTAACATCGAATTGCTGACCAGACTTCCAGGCAGAAGACGACATGCTATCCCCACAGCCGGGTGTGCCCTGCCTTCCATCTTCCGGTAAACGAACTCGAAAGTCTTCTGTCAACGAAAGCCCAGACCCAGTTGATCTCACACAACAACACGGTGAAGCGCATGTCACGGCTTCGGTGGGGTCAAACGAAGACTTGGATTACCTGGATGAAGACCTCTTGCGGACTCGCGAGTCAAGGGAGACAGGGTATGTCGGACAAAATTCAGAAGTGCAGTGGCTGCGTTCCGTTCAGCGTCAGTCACAGAGCAACGACGGCCAATCTTACGGGCTTCCATACGGACCACCCGGTATTGGTAAACACGCCGGCGATGAGCGCTCAGAGGCACTCCACCAGCGCAGAGAGAAGGGAGGGCATGTACCGATCCGGCATATCACTGATGCTACGTTCTATCTCGACAGTGACAATATCGAACTGGAAATTGTCGTCAATCCGTACGAGCTTCCCGATCCTGAGATCGCCGAGCAGCTTCTGCATTGCTACATGAGCACGGTCCACAGTACATTCCCCGTAGTACCTCGGAGCTTCGAGGATCAAGTGCGTAGGTTTATCTCCGCACTAAAGCAGAACAGAGCATTTCAGGTACCAGATCGCTGGCGGGCCTTGATGAATCTGATTTTCGCAATCGGCGCAAAGCACTCTCACTTGACCAACACGGGGTGGCAGGGAGACGAACGCGATCACCTAGTCTACATGACTCGGGCATCTCACCTTCTCGGCATGAATAGCACCATCATGTTCATTTCTGCGCCGGATCTATTGTTGGTCCAAGCAGTAAGTAGATCCATGACCTTTGCGTGTAAAGGCTAATATCCTCTTAGACTGCTGTTTTCTCCATTTACTTTCTGGCAATTGGTCATGTAAGCCGCGCATGGCTCATGGTCGGTATATCGATCAGGCTTGCCCTAGCGCTTGGTCTGCACCTACGGAACGAAGACCCTGCTGCAGATTCAACCAAGAAAGAGATGCTACTACGGACTTGGTGGAGTTTGCATTCGATAGAATGTCTGGCCAGTTCCATCACCGGCCGCCCGCCCATTATTTCGAACGAAGATTGCACGGTTCCTCTGCCTGCAGCTAACGTTGGTGATAAACAGCCTGCTAGCAAGCGACGGGTATCTAATCTCGCTAACTCAAGATCCCAAGAAGCGAGTTCGCAGATCGGCAACTCGGTTGGCTCAGACGAGTATCTCGTGAACACCATCAAGATTGAACTTCTTACGCAGAGAGTCTTGACCAGTCTATATGCGCCTCGAACTGCAGCTCGATCTTGGCAGGTATGTCACACCGAGACATTGGTCTTTAGCGTCCATCAGACCCTCAAAGGTTTGCCCCTTCCGTCGAAATTATGCTTACTCCTTTTGCCGCAGAATGTCCAGGGCAGGATCAAAGATTTGCTCCAGGACCTCGAAGAGTGGTCTTCTCAAGCACTGAGTGGCGCGAAGTCTCCAAGCGGCTCACAACAGCAAGGCGAAGTCGAACGTGAGCATCTTCTCCTTCTGATGCACTACTGGAGCACCAAGATCCTCATTACACGCCCCTGCTTGTGCCGAACAGAGCGCCGTATCCAGAATGAAAGCGATACTTCTGCTGCGTTCAATGTGCAGATGGCCAACATCTGTGTTACATCGGCTCGTGAGATGATGGCCTTGTTTCCTGACGAACCTGACCTGGATTTCGTATACATGAAGGCACCTTGGTGGAACGTGATACACATCAGTAAGTACCAGCATGACCGGGTGAGAAATGACTCGACGCTAATAAGGGTGCGTAGTTATGCAATGTGCTGCTGTCTTACTGCTTGAAGTGGGATATCAAAGCCGCCAAACGAAGGACAACAACGCTTCAATCACTGCTGATATCCAAAAGCTGATCAACTGGCTGCAGGTAATGCAACAAAACGACCCTGTGGCAGAACGAGCCTACTACGTAGTGCGCCGAATCCTACAGAATGTTGCACCGGTTCTTCAGGAGAAGGCTATCGAGCTACTCGCCGAAAGCGTGGCAAGCAGTGCTGCAGACATGCAAATACCTAAGCGTCCTGCCACAGCGTATGGACGTCAAAGCACTAGTCTCGACTGGGCTCAGGGAAACTTCTTCGATGGCTCAGCTTCAGCGACTGGCCACCAGTACTATGCTGAGCGCACAGATCAGAACTACTATGGCACTGGGCAATTTCCACAAGATGTTTCCCCGTATGGAAGCTTTCCACTCGAGGATCTTCAACTGTCTGGTACTTTCGGCAATCCATTCGTCAACAACTGGGATGAGGATATGCCGTTGGCAGGCGTGCAAAACCCATGGCACAATCCGTTAACCTCCTCTACCGATCAGCAGGACGACTTGAGCAACATGAACCTCTACCCGGTTTCGAATGTGGACCAAGGACATCAACAAGGACAATAGCCACGTCAACATGGGCAGTAGCACTACCCACAGCAATCACCTCAGAGCGGCACGCAGCATGAGCAGCGGCCATCTCAGACCTGGCCAAGTGTTTGCGTTGAACTCAGTTCCAGGATACGAGAATCTGACATCTGATTTCAACGTGAATCACACAATTGCACAAGTTCTTTGGAAATTCCACACGAGTTGCTCACCGCCAATATGCAGTCACGCGTTTGCGCCACAATTGCCGTGGAAGCTTCCCGCTCTCATGCAAGCCCCATGGCACCAGTCCGCACACGACCAACGCAAACGCAAACGTGTGTGTTTATCCCCACAATAAGCGGCCCAACAGTGCTAGAAGTCCTGCCATGTCCTCATTCGTTTCGTATCTTTAGCCTTAGCATCATCGACTCGCCATGGCGCACCCACACAGTCATACTTGCATCCCACCGGAAAATCCTCTGAAGTGTGCCATGTGCAGTCACAAGGGCACTAGATGAACAGGCCGCCTTCAAGGTAGATACCGTAACTGCGTGAGCAGTGTCGGTCGGAGACTGTGAACAACGATTGTATTGCTATCTGTTGTCGTGTTGTCTGATGTCGTGATGTTCAAGCTTTCAGCTCTCAGGTAAGTGCACTTGCCCACCGGGCAGTGCCTGCTACAATAGGATATCATGTGATCTGAGCCACGTGGTTACAGATACTGTTCCCGAGAGTGCCAGAAGAGCGACTGATCTGTTCACAAGCTCGTTTGTAAGGTGTTCTCCGACTTCTCCGACTCCCATCGCCCGAGCACGTACACCAAACTTGTGCTTGTCTTTCCAGAGGACGGCGAAGTGCCTCATTTTGCTTGGGTCTGCCAGCCACCGCAGGCGAACGTTGTCGAGGCAGCTGCCAACACCAACGATGACCGCGCAGGAGATGCAACTCCACTACTTCCATTTCAAGAACACCTTGGCGACTACGACAGCTTCCTCGACGAAGGTGGTATAATAATGGTTGGGCGCATGGATCAAGCTCCACACCGCCAGATAGGTCATGGACACGTTGTAGTGGGGCGTCACAGACTACAGGTCGGATCTAAGCACAGAGTCAACAGGAGACCTAGCCTGGCAATTTGGTCGTGTACAGCTTCCCAGAGGATACCAAAAGCGCAATGGATCTTAACCTCGTGGAATTTCACCATATCGTCGATAATCTCCGGCACATCTACGACCACAGGCGTCGCGAACATATGGAGAGAATCGACGGCCCAAAAGTCACCGGCATGTTTATTCCCTGTGCTGCAGAGGAGGAATTCGACTGCCGCACCTTCGAAGCCGTCTCCGTCGCCGCAGCACAGTTAAGTGCTCAGAGCGAGATCGCCTCTCCCATCATGACACGCATCGGCATCTCTCTAATCATCCGCCGCCTTCCGTTCGAGACACGCCGGCGGGACAGGTAACCCGGCATACCTGACGAGCTGGTTGGCTGGAACCCTAGTCTGCGACCTTTCGACCCTACGATCCCACTCTGCGATAGACGTCATGGCGTCCGCAGCGCGCTCGTTGTCAGAAAGGACGTGAATTCGCTTTGCCGCACGCATATTACGGCGTTTGTTGACTATGCAAGGATGAAGGTGGTTTCGTACTGTCACGGTAACCGGGATACGGCGAGGGGTATGTTCGAGAGCTGCTCGAAGCAGGACTTCTTTGAGTGGTATGCGGGCTGAAAGACGAAGGTCGCAGGCCGTCTGAATGCAGATGCGCATAGCCCGTACAAGGTTGAGACGGAGGAAGATCTTCAGCTGGCGAATATGCTGGGTGTTGCTGGTCTGAACTAGGATAGTATTATTCATGCGGTCGCTTCAACGCCGCCGGCGCCATGCACGATCGCAATTGAGACCGTACCAAGCCCAATAGCTAAGGTCAAGCAGTACTGTGGTGTTGCAAAGGCAGGACCGTAACTTCCGCTAGTACAGGGATTGGTGTGCATTAGTCGTATTCGAAGTTCCTGTTGCTAGTCCAGCTCGTGTAAAGCTTGCGAAATTCTTTCCATCGGCCATTGGGCAGCGCGTTCACCACAGTGATTATGCAGGTGCATATACTATCTATACCTCGCTTCTGGTCTTTGCTCATACGCGTGTTCGTGCTAATACATCATGACAGTCTTAGTATGCCCTCGTTCCGACACGTGCTATAAAATGGGCCGGACTAATCACTGCGCACGAACAGGAGATGCAGCATGCTAGTTACTGTGGCACTGATTTTTCAAGACAAAAGCTAGACAAGATGAATGAAGTCACATGTCATTCGTTTTTTCCATGCGGATTTATCACCCAATATTCGCCAAGAAGGTGCATTGGAGGCGTGGTCGCCGGCTGACGAAGTAGGTAGGGAGGAGCACGAGCTCGGCGGCAAAAAACATGAAAAGACAAAGAGTTACACTATTGGGCAACAACAGCCGCCACCAAGATAGGCGTCTACTAACAACTCGGTGATAAGAACCATGTAAGACATCCCGGTATTATTCGGAACATGTGAAGGGTCCTTGCTACTGCTTTAAAAAGCTGTAAGATGACACGAGAGAACTACTCACCACCGATACTCCGGCCCAAACTATCCCATTCAGTTCACCTGCGCTTATATTTACTAGGGTCCCCCTTAGGGGTTTGTGATCAGGGTCCAGCGTTCAAGCCCTGGTACACCCATAAGAGTCATGTCAATGTACGAATGTCTTGGCCCATTCGTCAAACTCGCAGCTCACATCAACTACAACACACACACCCTCACTCACTCACTCACTCACTCACTCACTCAGGTTTGGAAAGAGAAATGGCTCTCCCAGGGAAAATTCTCTCAGCTGGAGGTGATGTGGGGACCAACGCCAATGCCGCTGCCCATGCGGCAGGTTCATCAGCACCTACCACACCAGATCCTACGCAAGATTCTCGAACAAGCCGCTTTTTTAGTAACATCAGAAGCTTTCTTCATCTTCGACTTGTCAACAGTACGTCCCTCGACCTCTATCCAGATGCGGTTGCATGCGATTGATTAGCAATTCATGCCGGTAATGCGAACAGCTTCCACGCTATACTGAGGTGATGGAGTCGCAGGCCAAGCCTTTCGAATCTTCAAGAGATCTTCTACACATGCTTCGACTGACTCCGAGATGCTGATCCACAGAACGACCTTACAAGTAGCGCAAAAGTCCATGCAGTAACGTTGCAGGCCTTGCAGCACCATTATCCTTGCGTAAGGCACCGAATCGGAGCAAGCATGCGTACCATGCCCGGTTGGGCATTTGATCAGCACTTCCGACATATTCTCTGTAAAGAAGAAGTAAGATCGATGGATAGGCTCCACAATTAGCGATTGCCATGCCAGCGATGCGTGGGCCTTCAGCGTGGACTTGAATGTAGTGTCTTTACAACGGCAAATAAAACAGTTCCTTCAACACTCCCGACTATTACTTCGAGCTGGTAAAGTAAGGTCATCGTAATCGCACGAGTGATGTTCTATGGACGATGCTTGCTGGGAGCTGTATAACCTACGATGTAAAAGACGAACTCGATCCCAATCATCCTATAAGGGTAGCACTATCTAGACACGCCATTTCATAGGATTGCGGGCTTTTACTCACCGTAAACCCACTCAATTGCAGAATTATTGGAGGCAATTGGTTTCAGTCGAGACTTCACTCGTGATCTCTGATTTCTCTGAAAACACAGACTCTCATGGTCAACTATAGTAACTATCATATATATCAAAATTGCCTCGCCGGATAAATCAAGTGCTCTCGCAGTTAGTGCTGCCTTTGCCGCATTTTTGGTGAAAAGTGGTTTACCAAATTTACAATACAAGGCTTGACAGTTTGACCTAGGACAGCAGGGGGTTCTAGCACCAGGCCGCACAACAAAACTGTAAGTAAGACTCTGTATATTGTGAGATATGTTTTTGCCCTCAAAATTGATCGGTCCGTGTGCGGGTGCCCTCTCGTCGAAACACCATTGGACGCTGACCTTAGGGTCAGCTATAACCAATGATCGTAAAGGTATCACGAGTTGTGAGTCTGCATCATCGATTCAGACTTGAGCCTGTTAGTAGCCAATGTCTATATCACATACTCAACACGGATGCAATAACGCATTGCGCTGCACACGCCACGTTGCGTGATTGACTGTTGCGGCAGTCGACTCTTCTAGAGACAGCCATAAAAGTTCTTCTCAAAGTACTGCAAATAATTCTGGGATATTTTGTTGATTCCTATACAGAAATCGATCTCTAACGCGTTTGTCTAGCAAGTCGTAAGTCAAGCCGCCTTCATTAACACAACACACTAACGCTGTTTCCACTCCTCGAGAACGAAGTTTTGGCGCTACGCCCAGCGCCGGGCGGACGAATGTTCTTTGTCAACCGCGAATCTTGGAGCTTTCTGTCAAGCAAGATCAGTGTTCAGCGCCTGCAGCATCACGTCAACAGAGACGGAGATGCTCGTACTCTTTTCGCCCATTTTGCTCAAACAGTCTACGAAACAGAACTGGAAAACTCAATGTCGTCGATTTTCCAGGTATAAGAGCAGTTCTGGTGCAATATTTCTGCCAGCTTTGCATGCACGCGCTTTGGAACCTCAGCTGGGTCGTTCTCTGGGCTCGAGGTATCCATAAAGAACATGTGCACAGGCAACACTATGAAAAGCTAGCTGAATCCTGGAATCATACCTTCCTGATAGCCACCCTAGGTGTTTTCAACGAAGACAAAGAAGCAATAGATAGACTGTTGCAATTTTTTTCGCTCATCGACCTGGATAGACTTTCTCTATCTATCTCGTTGTCCGCTTCAGTCTCCGCTCTGCGGTCGCCAGAGGTTACACCTGCTGTGTCTCCTTCGGCTCCGGATTCTGAGTCCATCGTTCTCTCGCACTCTGAGTCTGCCTCAGTCTTAATTGAGGTCACTCCCTTAATCTCCGCTTCTGCTTTGCATGAGCCTAAACCGTCCGCACCATCAGCAAGTGTCACGACGTCGTCAATGACTGCCCTCTCAACTCGTTGACCAAGACATACATGACCACCGAGATTAAAACTCGAACCCCAGTTGTCGCACCTCCCACCTCCCCTCCCACTGGTAACGAGAGCTATCTTTCCAAAAGGAGAGCGACAGGAAGTCATCTGTATCTCCCTCCAAGGAGACAGGCAACATTTCCAGCCTACCCAACGAGTCCATCTACCCATCTGAACCCGTGAAAGGACACTGGCAAGAACGGCGAACCGCCCAAGGAAACAAAGTTCATCCAGTCCACTCACTACGCCTAGGCGCCTCCGAAGACCTTCACAACACTCAGTGCCTACGAGCGTGTCTCCATACCCCACTGGTCCCAGCGCACCATCTTTGATCAAGGTATGCAGCGATATGAAGTGCTGGTACGTCGCTGTCCCTACCGAATCCAAGCCCATTATAGGCACCGGTGCTTCTACAACATTGAAGACCTCTACGCCCAGTCTCAGTGTGTGCTTCGGCACGGGCTGCAAGGCTACTCAAACGCTGACGGGAAACGAGCCTGATGAGTTTATAGGTGCGGCGAGAAGCAACTTTACGAGCTCAACCGTAGGGGCTGAGGCGATGGTCGTCACTTTTACACGCTTCTTCTAGCCTTTTTGAACGTTCCCATTATGTTCATGTGGGGTTGGTTTTGACAGATTGTGCAGGAATTTGAGGAATGATCTATCATGATTGAGATGAATAACAGAAAATAGAGATAACTAGCGGTGTGTTTAACAAAGTGACTTCTCAATTGTTGTGCAATGCTGTACGTCCCAATTTTGACTGATCCAATTTGATGTGCACTGTGCTCATCTTCCGCAATTCGGAAGCCATGTAACTGCTGATAGTACTGTATGCTCTCGCACTACACTCTCAAGACCTTTTCTTCTGTAAGAGAGAAACTTGAACTGTGCTGGACGGTGGGGACATTAGGCAAATCGACCGACGTCGGCTGGTCGGCTGACATTTCTGGGTACGCAGCACCGAGCTCAAAGCGTACTTGACAAGAATACTCATGTAAGATATGGGCAAATTGATGTGCTTTTACTATCTCGCCTCGCGCAACCTATCTCTCTGTAAGTCTGCAGATATCTAAGTCGAGACTGGGCCGCGCTATGCCCTATACAGCGAAGCGTCATTTACTTTTCTCCTCCCCCCAACCTCTACTCTCCCTCCGTCCCGCCTCACGAATATAGTCTCTTCGCCTAACCTCCCTTTCTGCTTCCTTCGGCGCATCCTTCCCTACCCCCTCTTCTCACGTCTCTCCAAAGGCCTTCCTGCAGCACTTGCTAGCTGGGCGCGTCTCACATCGGCGCTTGCAAGCGCCGACACACCGATCCTGCACCATACATACTTTTTTGGCAGAACTACGTCACGTCACTCACAAGCTTGCCCTGATCAGCGCCGTGTCGAGGCAAAGCTTACGCGTGCGACTGATGATCTGCAGCGGATGTGGCGGTTGGTTGGGGGCGGCAAGAGTCGAGTTGCCGCGGGAAGATCGACTGCCGTCTTGCACAAGCCAACGTCGTTGCAGCTGCACCGCACGGCACTTGGACGTCTGCATGCATGCGCGCGTCGCCCCAGTTGCACAGGGAAGCAGAGTCAGGGCATGTCATATCATCACTAAAGCTCCTGTCGCTATGGGATGTGTGAGATGGACCTCAATGTTGCAAGTCATGGAGATGGAGGTTGTGCACGGTGGAGGTGCTCGGTAATGCTCGGTGAAAAGCCGTGAGTGACATGGGCCTGCTTGTATGCAGGGAGGATTAGTGCGAAGTGCATGGACGAGGTGCAAATAAGCTCGTCACGCGGTCTACATGATCTGTTCGTATCGCAACTAGTGACATCGGATGAGGCGAAAATTTAGGCGAAGATTTGAGTCGGGAAGATGACGTTGCTACAGTTGTGGGCTGTCGTCAGCAAGGGACGGTAACGTTACTATGAGGTAGTCACGACGCTGGAGTTGAAGCGAAAGACAGGGGAGGTGATGCTGATGCTGATGTATTCGGTGTCATCGTAAAGATGCTCTTTTTTGGTGCTGGTAGTGCTCGCTGTACATGCCCATGCCTCGGAACCGCAAGTGATCAGGCTCGTTCTCAAATTACATTGTCGTCTTTCGACACCGTCAGATGCAAAATCGTCGATGCCGTCCGACCACGAAGTTACTCTGCCGTGTTTCCAAATTCCACAAGTGTTAGGCCGACAGAAGAGTGGGTCTATCTCGGGACGTCAGTGCAGCAGGGTCAGGCTAACATGCACGAAACTCAATCGTGCAGCTTTTGCCGAATCTCCGCGACAACGTTCTTGATCCGGGGTTCCTTGACCTTGCTCTCCGCGAAGTTGACAGCATCGCCAATCTGCAGGATGTCCCTACCAGCCTCGCAGAAGTCGGGGCCCAAGCTGAGCAGTGTTCCAGTAGCTACGAGGGCGCGGTACACCGCCTCAGAGTCGGTGGCTGAGTTGAGGATCTTGCCCAGGTCATCAAGCAGTGACAAAGCACGGTCCGCATTGTTTTCCGATGTGAGAAGCACCGAGTAGTTGATGTACAGGGTGGTAAGCGCGATGATCAAGTTGCGGGTGCTTGCTGTAAGGAAGGGTGCAACCAGAGGGTGAATACTGTCGAATTCTGTGCTGGCCAGGAGGCGGCCCTTCTCCGTTTGGAGTAAGTTGCTCACCAGACGGACTGCCATCATTGTATTGTTGGAAGGTGACTCTGCGGAGAATACGCCAGACTCGACGAGGCCCTTCACCAAATTCTGCTCGGGTGATACCAGGTATGCTGCTGGTTCCTCTAGAGTTAAGGCCAGACGAATCAAGTCGAGAGCTGGGAGACGCTTCTCTGTCGGCCACTCTGTTGCCGCCTTAACCAGTAGACCCAGGCCAGCTAGCTCAACATTTTTACCAACGCCCTTCTTAAGGGCAGAAACGGTCTTGTCCAGTTGTTCAATGTCGGAGGGATTCAGTGAAACACCCTTCTGACCATTGTCCACCAGCGCTTGGTTGAATTCCTGCAACTTCTTGAATATGACGTCATGATTGCCTGTAACAATAGGGAGGTAGTCCTTCTGAGGTAGAATGCTCGGTGCAGCTGGAGTTTGCGGCGGCTGTGACCGCACCTCGTTTGCATCTCCGGGGCGATACCGCGATTCGGACCCCCATGGGTCTGCACCCTGCGCGCTACTCTGGCCTAGTGTGGCACCCTGCGTGTTTTGTACGATGAAGTTTGCGACTTGGTCGAGGTATGTAAGTGGCAGCTCATTGTCCTCGATGAACTTGCGGGCTACCTCGTAGTGGTTCTGATTGACGTTGTACGGCAGCTTGAGCGGAGGCTTGCCTTCTTCGATGTCGACGTCGAAGACGTAATCGTATTCTTTGCCATTGTACGAGATCTTTCGTCCTCCACTTCCAGCTGAATCGACCACTGTGCCAATATTCACCCACTGGTTCGCAGCCGTCGACCACTGATATGCCGAGACGTTGCCATTGGCCTCCGAAATCATCTGAACCTGGCCCTCCTTTGTGCCTGACCGTTGTGTGAGAAACTCTGGGCCTGGAAGCTGCTCCTTGTTGATATTTCCGACCGTCTGCTGTGGTATCGAAGAGCCCTTGACATCCTCATTGAATTGTTCGATCTCGGTCGAGGCGGCATAGCGTCCCTGGTCGCGAGTGAAAACTCGAACGAGCTTGTCGCTGGCTCCAGAGACGATGTCACCATTCTCCTGACAGACTGCAACGGACCAGACGGAGATGGCAGGGTGTGTTATTGTCTGGACGCACTCGTTGTTCTGCCACACGCGCACCGTGCGGTCCTCTCCTGCGCTGACGAGCGCGCCATCCGGTCGTACTGCAAGTGAGTAAATGAAGTTCTCATGACCGTGCAGCTCAGCGACCTGCTTGCCCTGCAATGTCCACAATCGGACGATGGCGTCGTTGCCTGCTGAGGCGAACTGCGCGCCAGAAGAGTGGTTTCCTGGCAGCCGGCACAGAGCTCGCACGACCTCTGGTGCTTGGATCGACCGTGTCTGCTTGCCTGCGAGAGTGAAGATGCGGATCTGTTTGTCGGCGCAGCCGGTGATGATAGTGTTACTGTCGTAGGCAAGCACCGCCCAGACTGCTGCGCCGTGCTCTCCCAGCTTCCTCGACTCGCCCCATTTGCCTACTACCCACAAGCGTGCCTCCAGATCCCAGCCCCCGCTAACGATATATTTGCCATCTTGGCTGACGTCGAGCGCGCTGACATTGTTGCCGTGACCAACGAGGAGAGCTTCTGCGTCGTCCTCGATGTTTTTGCCGGGCTGCCGTACATCGATGATCTGGTCCTTGCCACCAGAAGCAATGAGCCCCTCAGGGTATTGTGGCGAAGGAGGAACGATGGCGAGAGAGTTCACAAACTCCTTCCCGTGTGTCTTGACAATGGTGCTGTCGTATGTGGGCGGCTTAGTGCACTCTTGCTTCCACAGACGGACCGTAGAATCTCGCGATGCCGAAACGATCGAGGCTGATGATGGAAAGACGACGCTACGGACGTCATCATCGTGGCCACGCAGCGTGGCTGACAGCTTGTAGTCGCCCATGGTTGTGTGGTTGAGGCTGGAGGTGCTCAGAGCGGCGATGACGCGGGGCAGCTTCGGCGACGAATCTAAGGTGCCGTGGCAATACGGGGGAAAGGGAAAGCACGTGGAGGAGGAAGGCGCGAGAGGCTCCAAGCAGTTTCACCAGCTTCACCTGTGAAAGAGCGCAAAAGGGCCGCCGGAGGCTGTTTGCTGGCGCAAAGTGTCATCGCAGAGCTTCGCCGATACCGACGACGTCAATTGTCCACCCTGGTCCCATCGCCTCTGCCCGTCACGGCTAGCTGCCCTTAACCAACCGGGGGGGCTCCTTCAACACCAACACTAACATCACGAATCACTGTGAAACTGAGCGCGTTGAAGGGCTCAATGCTCTTATCAATGACCCGTTTTACTTTCCCAATTTCATTGTGCTCAGCTGACCACGTCCTCACCCAATGGCTTGCTCTCCGTCACAGCTGCCCCCGAACTCGCAGCTGCTGACACTACCTCAAGACGGACACCGGAATCCTCGTCTGGCCTTTTCCCAGGCCTCTTCTGGCTACATGATCGGCTATACGGCCGACGCCTTCTCTTTGCTAGAGACCTGGCGCAGCTGTATCGCTACTCTACGTGAGGAGCTGGTCTTAAGTACCGGCGCTATGAAGGCGAGCCATTTGGCGCAGCCGGCAGTGCCCGCCACAGTCTCGAACCGGGAGCCGGACAACGAACTTCTTTGATGCTGGAAGAACTGCATGTACTTTGGCGTGGAAGAGCTTCAGCGGCTTGTTTACCGCCGAAAGTCTTAGTGTTCCTGCGTGGGCATTGCTGTCCAGCGTCTGAAGGAACACAAACGCAGTACCTAATCAGGCTTCGTCTGACAGACGTCGCAGCCTTCTGCAAGGGCACTTTCATTTCCGTACTCAACAGCATCTCAACGAAAAGCTTTCGAGACAACGACGTGCTGCCGCAGTCGCTCGGAAAAGCACAATAGCGAGCTGCCTTCTCTTTGGTTGAGAACAGGCGAGGCAGGAAGCACTCCCGCTGCTGCATCTGGGACAAACCTCAAACAGGCAGCGATCACCACTTTGCCAGCGGGCCTGGAACGGCTGTTGCACCGAACCTCTGGTTGGCAGAAAGGCTGTTTTCTGTCACTTTCATTGTGGTGCAACGGCTCATGCTGCATATCCTCCATGCCTGCCACTACCCCGCAAGATCTTGGGAGCGGGTGGACGGCGCTCTCGTTTCACCGATGTTATGGGCATGGGGTTGACAGCAAGTGTCAATGCATGAACAACGGCTGTACCGCTCATTGGCCACGCTGATGGTGAGCTCTCGTTCAGCAAGTAAAAGTCTTTCTGGCCGGGGGCTTTCTCCTGAGCGGCTCGAGAACCAATGCATAGCCGAGCTGGCAGGAATGGTTTCTGTCAGCTTGCTGGCTTTGCGCTGCAGCCACACAGCCACCGAGAACGTTAGGTCTCGATATATGCAGCCTATCCCAGCAACCACGCGCGCTCCAACAACACCCTTCCCTGCGCTCTGGGCCCGACTTAGCGCTATTTAGCAACCAAGCCGAACCGCCTCGTTGACCGAGGACCGCGTGTCAGCTTAGCCTTTGGGCTGTCGGCAGAGAGCGAAGGGGGCCCTGTGACTTAGCACCAGTAGCATGACCAGATTGCGGGCCCATGCAACGGCCTACAGGAAACAAATGAATGCGCCTAGAGTCCCGACGCCATTTCTTGAGCATACAAGAGGTTGCGTGCCCTCGTTGCTTGAACTTGACCCTGCTATCTGCATATACCCATAAGTCTTCATCGGAACGACGTACCTTCAAGTACAGCATACCTTCGTAGCAAACTCGGCTACAGTTGGGGTTCTACCTGGTTCGCCTGCCGAAGATCCCTCGCCCTTGTTAGTAGTTACCATCCCCGCGGATCAGCACGCCCAAATTGTCAAACGACCTCCACGCGCCTACGTAGTTCGCCAAGCTACAAAAGTTTTCGAGTCGCGTCCTGTACATCCAAGATCTTCACGCTGCAGATCCAGAGTTTCACACGACCTCTATTAAATAGCCCCTCCACCCCACTCAAAGAAGAACGCATTTGCCCTACGAAGTCCAAGCCCATACACATCAAACATGGACTCCCCCACAGTTGAGCTCAAGTCCGCTCTCGCATCGTGAGTAACACCTCTCTGATTTCAAGTTCCCGGCTAAGTCGTTCAGACTGTTTGAATGCGGCAAGTACTCAGATCTGACCATTGTCTGTGGAAGCAAAAGATACCCGGTACATCGTGCTCTCCTTGCAACCCGCTCCACATTCTTCGAAGGAGCATGCCGCGAAGGCTTCCAGGAATCGTCAACTGGCGTTATCGACCTGACAGAAGATGATGCAGAAGCTGTCGAACACATGGTCCACTGTAAGCACAAATACTGTGTAGCACACTGAGACGGCGCTAAATGACCCTGCAGACTTCTACCACCTGGACTACCTCAACAAGCCCCTCTCACGCCAGACTTTGCAAGGATCGACTCGTCCTCAATCGCCCTCCCCAGTGACGTCGCCCTTGACAAAGCGCATGCCACTGAAGAAGATCAATTTGGCGTTCTTGGAAGATCCACTGCTTGCACAGATGTCCGCAGCAAGCCCCTTGACGCCTCCTGCCGAGGAAACTCTGTCCCAGCCTCTCGATGCATTACTGAAGCTACCTCATACGCCAACGGTGGAGAAGTTTGCAGACGACTACCTCGAGAGCGTGATCATGGAGCCAGAGGTTGACGTCGAGAGCGCTCATCTTGTCATCCACGCCAAGGTGTACGCGATTGCTGAGAAGTACGTACTACCTTTCGTCATGTCCCACCACCGTCTTTCCTTTCTCGTCCTATTGGCTTGTCAGCCATCTGAAATGCGCGATCGCAACTTTCGTCGTCCTGCGTCGCGCCGCGTTGCATATCACGGCGGAAAGTCTCCGACACGCCGCGACATGCGTCAGCAGCATGACTAGAGTGCCAATCGAGAGCCGCGCAGTCATCCATCAACCCCGCCACAGCCCAGCACATGGCCCTCTGCGGTGACATTGCCCAATCACTGCTTGCTTCATCTCGATCCTTCGTTTTGCGCATCTAGAATGGTGCGCGTCACCGTGTCACTTTCTTCAACTAGTAACGGGTCCCTTGCCGAAGAACCCCGTGCTAACTTGCATCACAGGTACGGCATCGCTGGCCTGAAGTCGCTCGCACGCAACAAGTTCTCCTATCAGATGTCCCTGCATCTGAACAGCCCTGAGTTTGCAGACGCCTGCCAAGAGGCCTACGAGTCGACCTTCCACACCGATCGCGGGCTGCGGGACGTCATCGTCCAGACATTCCGTGCCAACCCCGATCTGTCAATGCGCGAGGATGTCGAGATGGCGGTGCGTGAAACGCCAGGTCTCGCTTTCGAACTCTTCCGCATGGTCAGTGGCCTTCCCGTCTCGTCCTGAGGATTGAGCCTACGAGCCTATCCGGCCTGCGAATGCGAGCACGGCTTCATCACTCTCGACTTCAGTCACTACAGCCATCGAGTTGATCGTGGCTCCTATCAACGCACTCATGTCACAGTGGGACACAGTGGAGTTTGGTGTCAAGGCACCGTCCAGCAGCGTTCTGAGGCTCTGGGGAAGTTGCTGTACTTCCATCCTGAGCCACGGACGTATCAAGCTGCGCGTCGGTTCTTCTGCACTTCTTGCAGATGGGGCTGTTCCCTTACCAGGTCATCTTCAGGTACATGGCGGCTACTTCAGCCAACGAATTATTTCGGCTTGTGCAGGACCCCATCTCAAACGCAGAGGCGCTTCTGCAATTGCTTTCAATTGCATAGCATCATTATGTTAGATCAGCCAAAGCGTTTCACAAAGCTGCACCTCCACACAATCAAGACCAGTTCTACAGTCAACATCTTCATTGGTCGCGTCTCACCCATCTTGTATGCACCCCGCACCATTCAGAACATGCATGTGAAGAAGGTAAGCATTCTATCCTCCTGCTGTGCCTTGCTGGCCAGGGTACATGCGCCTTCCGAATTTGGGTTCGACTTGCCAAGAACTGCCTGAAAACTACGTCGATGATCAAATCAAAGTCGCGCCTTTCACAAGTTCCCGAGTAGCTCCACATCACCAGTATTTCTAGCCACGATGTCTTTGTTCTGCGCATGTCCCTGCACACTCAGTAGTAAACAGGACATCAATGCCGCAGTCTGGGGTCCGTCGTCCCACCGCAATCAGTGTTTACTCCTGATTGCTGTGGTACGCTTGTCGCTGCCACGGTGCCACCACGAGACATCAACAACCTGATACGCACTAACATATGATACCGTGACAATCGCAACGTTTAGTAATATCCTCTGAACATGGAATACATAGCAACCTCTCTGGCAACTGACTTCGAGGTTCTGGGAGGCAGGAACAGTCCAGGGTCGTTTTCAATCCATGATGGAGGCCGAAAGTGAAGGCATCGCGGGCCCGGAACGGGAGCACAGTCCTGCCTACTGTATGAATGCCCAACAGCTTCAAGTTGTGTCTCTCGTCGATAACCGCGCCCGTTACCAACCGTCTTGCTTCACACGATCACAACATACTTCAACCTAGCCAAAAAAGTCAAATCCTTGAGTGTGACAGTCTGTTACGAAAATGTCTCGACGCCGTTCAATCTGGGCGGCAAGGAGCGCACGGAAGACGAGTGCACACTCCCAGGAAGTATCTTGCGTTCCTTTACGGCACTGGAATCCTTACCGATCAACGTCTGTCCACTTTACGACGGCGACCGTGATCACGACCTTCTCCTATATCTGTTCCTGGACGACGCACAAGATCTGATGGCAGAATCAATGCCAGGTCTAGGCTTCCGTAATCTCGTCTCTCTGAGGTGGACGGTAGCTATGCTACCTGAATGCACTGTTTTTCTACCAAAGCGATGAGGCCGGTATTGAATTACTTCGGCGACTACGAAGTTTGGAGGGATTGCTACGACGAATCGACCGTCGAAATCGAAGTGGTTCTGAGCTCACTTTCTGCAGTAATCGGCGGACGGGTAGGTTAGCAGCTGTATCAGATTGCGTATGTTAACCCTCACAGACTCTCTTGACGACGTGCAGCCAAGAAAGCTTCGTGTAGTCCGACGTTGCGACGTACCTGTGGATCGCAGCCAAAGAGAAAGAAGAAAGGAACGTGCTTACTGACCACGGGTGGAGGAAAGGTTATATACTGCGCAATTTCTTCAAGTTGCTGGATTGATAGGCGACGCTGGAAAAATCAAACTAAAGGTGGAAAGTTCCTGGAAGGTCGTGATGGAGATGCGAATGGCATTGTTCAACACCAAGTCCAATCATGCCGGCTCAACGTGCGCAAAGAAGTACAAAAAGCGTCCTTTAGGAGTCGGTCAATGGAAGCATTTGTCAACATGTGTTTTGTCAATCTATTTGACATTGATCGTATGCGGCCTCGACCGCTGCTCCCTCTCGACTTCGCCCGGCTGTGGACGCAAAGATGCAGCTTCTAGTTATTGAGAGGTGCGTCCAACGCGTGTTCCAGACCGTGCTGGTTTGGTAAACGCAACAGGATAGGAAAGTGGATCGATTGATCTCAAGTGCCAGGTGTCGATTGAAGGACAAGGGTGAGCGTTTGCGGGCAGTCATGCGCTTGCCCGTGCACGGTGCTTGGCGAGGTGAAGTGAAGGCAGGAACGACCTTACCAAACCATCCTTTCAATCATAGAGTCGCTTCCTTGACAGCCTCCTGAAAGTAGCATCTCGACGTCCCTTTCCATTCCGGGGGGAAGGATAGGTACACCGTATCCAGCGATGCTTTAATAAGTCCCGAATTCGGTGGACACTCTGTTTGAATCGCTATTTGAAGCTCGTTGTTCGCTGATGGTATAGACATTGCTGCCATTGCTAGCGCATCCTGTGGGGGCTTTTCTGGGGTTCTTTTTCGTCTGCAAATTGAAGAGAAAGGCAAGGGGCCATAGGACACTGCGCAAGACGGCGTTCAATACATTCACGGAAACATCAATTCTAGTGAAAATAAAGTATATCTGGCTACAGCGGCCTCAGGAAATACTCGCTATCCAAAACTTGGCGGATATCGTCCCCTTGGTCCTCGAACTGGATCGGGTGGCCGTTGCTGTCGAGAGACAAATCGACAAGACCGTCGGCCGGGGGTGTGAACTGACGCAGCCGCACGCCGCTCTCGGCAAAGATTCGAGCCGACTGGTCGTCGACCAGGTAGCCTTGGTTGTAAACGACCTCGCTGATGCCGACTTGGGTGATCTTGACGCTACACGTCAAGCACGGGCAGGTGTTGCAGTATAGGATGGCGGTTTGGCCGATGCGATCTCGGCCAGCTTCGAGGAGGGCGTTCTCCTCGGCGTGGAGGCAGAGGCACGTTGACAAGCCTACGCCACCCTTGGCGGCGTTGTTGCATCGTGGGCCTGGCAGTGTCAGCAGTACGTAGAGCCATCGTAGCTTTCCAACTTACAGCCGCCCTCGTTGCAGTTCGTCATGCCCCTTGGTGTGCCGTTGTATCCAGTGCTGACAACTCTCTTCTCCTTGACGATAACGCAGCCTACTCGTCTCTTCATGCAGTTGCTTCGTAGTGCTGCAAGATCCGCGAGCTGCATGAAGTACTGGTCCCAGCTGGGGCGGAGTCGTGCCTCGTCGGTGAGGTTCAAGGAGCGAACAGCCTCTCGCAGCGAGGCCACGGATGTGGTCGAGTTCAGCAGCTTGAGCTGAGCTCGCTGGAAGAGCGCGCTCAGGCCGGTACGCTGTGCAAACAGGTGGTCATCGTTGCGCAGGACGAACTCTTCCAACGTGGGTGGGGTGAGCTTGTTGACGGCACAGCGGTCCTTGAAGCGCTGCCACCGCACGCTGACGGGTGCATCGACGCTGATGAGGAGGAAGAAGGGCCGTCGAAGCAGCGCATCGACTACGCTGTCGTCCCATATGTCGGTTGTCACCCATCGCTCCCTCCATCGTAATGTGACAAATTCGAGCAAGGCGTCGATGTCGGCGAAGGTGTGGTCGCTGTAGGTCGAGGCTGACGGCGAGGGCACGTGGGCGTCCGAGGCCGACTGCGCGACGGCGGGCGTGGCAGCAGTGCGGGCTAGACGGAGGCGCTTGAAGCCGTGTTCCTCGACGAGGTATGAGGCGATGGACGACTTGCCTGCGCAGATTCCTGGTCATGTCAGACGGGATGCATGCACGTCCAGAACGGTACTCGCCTCCACAAAGTCCAATCAGCATATTGACACAAGCGGTAGACTGTGCAGTCCAAGGCCGGTGCAGTCCAAGGCCGGTGCAGTCCAAAGGCCGGTGCAGTCAAAGGCCGGTGCAGTCCAAAGGCCGGTCAATTGGGCGTGTCCCAGCGCGACTGCGGCTGCAGGGATGCGTCGAGCCGCTGCCCCACATGGAGCCTCGGGCGGGGTCATGGACCACTGCTGGGAGGGCCCAGCTGCCTCGAGCTCCAAGACACTCACCACCAGGCCGACGGTGCCTGACCGCGCCCACGTGCACTGCTTTGCAACCGGCATAGATAGCTGTGACTCCCGTGTTTGTTTCCTGAATCTCATACATATCGAGGCACCACACGCCCGTACTTCACACACCGTAGCATCATCACCAACCCCGCCCACGCACGCTGCTGCCACCATGACGACGCTCAAGTTCGCGCCCTGGCAGAGCGACGTCGACGTGCAGTTCTATGCAGCCCTTGCCCACATCAAGATCAACCATGACAAGCTCAACGACTCGGCGCGCAAGGTCCTCGGACTGTACGAGACTCGCCCCGGCGACCACGCCTCGCGCTCCATGCGCGTGCAGATCCACCCAAATGCGCTAACGTCAGACGAGTGCGTGCTTCCACTCCACACCCATATACTCCGGTGCTGATCGCTGAGCACTGTAGTACTCCGCCGAACTACTGCCGCGCCGAGGGCATCATCAAGAACTGCAACACCATCGAGGACTACAAGAACCTCGACCGCACAGCCGCCCTCGACCGATGCGCCCAGACAGTGAGCCACGCCTTGACTGTCGCTGCGTGCGCCAGACTGACCGCTCCAGATATGGGACGCCATCCACGACGGCTCCATCTACGAATGCCCTTCGCTCCTCTCCTCCTTCACCGCCATCATCTTCGCGAACCTGAAAAAGTACAAGTTCACCTACCACTTTGGCTTTCCGGCGATACAGTCCGACCCTCCATGGAAGCAGATCGGCGAAGCGAGCAAGCTGCGCCCAACTGAGACGACACACCTGGTCGACGCAGTGCAGACGTTCAAGTACAGCAACGACGTCCGGCAAAGAGGCTTCTTCATCGCCAAGCGCGTGCGCGGTGGCGGCGAGGTTGATGACACACAGAAGACGCCGGCCACACCAGTGGAAGAGATAGGCTACAAGTGGGTGGTTGGGAAGCTAGGCGCATACGAGAAGGGCTTCTTCGACGACGTGGACAGCCACGACCGCTTCATTTGCTTCTCAGACCCGTCCACGTACGACGATAACCCGGGCTGGCCGCTGAGGAACCTGCTGATTCTCGTTCGCCATCGCTGGCGACTGAATGACGCCCAGATACTCTGCTACCGCGACACTCACCTTCGAAGAGATCAGCCCAACTCCCTGATACTGCAGGTCCGATCAGAGCCCAGCACCGAGCTATCAGCCGCAGCGACCGAAGGGCCAAGCGCTCGGGCCAACGCACCAAAGCTGCCCAAGGTCACAGGCTGGGAGCGCACCGAAGCTGGCAAGCTGACATCTCGGAATGTCGACCTCTCGGAGTACATGGACGAGCGCAAGCTCGCAGACCAGGCCGTAGACCTCAACCTCAAGCTCATCAAATGGCGCATAGCACCCAGCATCGACCTCGATGTGATAAAGAACTGCAAGTGCCTGCTCCTCGGCGCCGGCACGCTAGGTTCATATGTCTCGCGAACGCTGATGGGCTGGGGCGTTCGCAAGATAACTTTCATCGACAACGCAAACGTCAGCTTCTCGAACCCTGTCCGCCAGCCGCTGTTCAGCTTCAAGGACTGTTTGGAGGGTGGTGCGAGGAAAGCCGAGCGCGCTGCCGAAGCGCTGGAAGAGATATACCCCGGTGTCGATGCGAAGGGACATGTGATGGAAGTCCCCATGCTGGGACATCCGATCACAGACTCGGCCAAGACGAAGGAGAACTTTGACAGACTCCAAAAACTGATTGCAGAACACGACGCCATCTTCCTGCTCATGGACACACGCGAGTCCCGCTGGCTGCCCACGGTAATGGGCAAATCGGCCGGGAAGATTGTGCTCAACGCCGCGCTGGGCTTCGACACATTCGTCGTGATGCGACACGGGCTGAAGGCCACACAGGACGGCGAGGTGGAGCTCGGGTGCTACTTCTGCAATGATGTTGTTGCGCCCGCCGATGTGCGTGCCGCAGGCCTCTTCTTTTGGGGTATAGTATATACTAACAAGCACAGTCCCTGAGCAACGCAACCCTCGACCAGCAATGCACGGTAACGCGACCAGGCATCGCGCCCCTCGCCTCCTCCCTGCTCGTCGAACTCCTCGTCTCCATCCTGCAACACCCGTCCCGCTCGCGCGCAGCAGCACCACCCCCGCCGGGCTCGGCACCCAAACCCAGCACCGCTCCAGCGGCAGCGCCATCGCACGCCTCCCTCCCAGCCCCCTTCGCGCACCCGCTCGGCACGATCCCGCACACGATCCGCGGGTACCTGTCGACCTTCTCCAACCTGCAGGTGACGGGGCAGCCGTACAGCAGCTGCTCGGCGTGCAGCGAGGTGGTGCTGGCGGCGTACGCGTCCGATCCGTGGGGGTTCGTGCAGCGGGCGCTCGACGAGCGCGGGTGGGTCGAGGAGCTGAGCGGGCTGAAGGAGGTGCAGAGGCGTGCGGATGCGGCGGCGGATGACTTGGAATGGGACAGTGAGGAGGGAGGGGGGATGGAAGAGGAGGGCGAGTTGTTGTGAGGTGTGTGTGTGAGGTGAGGTGTGTTAGGTGTGGTGTGTGTGAGGTGAGGTGTGGTGTGTGTTAGGTGTGGTGTGTGTTAGGTGTGGTGTGTGTTAGGTGTGGTGTGTGTTAGGTGTGGTGTGTGTTAGGTGTGGTGTGTGT